AGAGAGATGGCCAGAAGATGGAGTGTTTTTCATATTTAAGTGACATCCAGTCACAAAGTGCATCTCCAACAGTAGAGGATGACCCCCCGCCGAGCGGCCTGAGGCTGTGATTGGACAGGATGAGACGAGGATGTGATTGGACAAACGGAGATTTAAGGGACGTGATTGCCTAGAGAAACGAATAACAGAGCAAAGTCTCCTGCAGCACAGGCCAAAAGCTCTAGAAATATAGGTCAGCTTAGTGAATACACTCCAAAAGCGTTCACTCATGACAGGGTAGAGAGAGAGAGACCACACACACACACACACACACACACACACACATACATTATGGCGTCGGAGATTCTCTCAGTGTGTTGTGCAAAAATGCACGTGAATATCGACTCACACACACACAGAGCTGTCCCCAATCTCTAAAACCTCCATTGTGTCACTTCATTTCACTTCACAGAGTCCGGCAGCACAGCCGAGAGCAGCGTGACACACACAAAAATACACACAAATACATAGCATGGAGGGAATCACAAGACATGAAGCTAATCCACATCTGGACCAGAAAGGACAAACAACCACTATAACACAGAGTTGTGGACAGATGTGAACACATGAACGGCACAATGAAACCTGGTTCACTGAGGAACTGCTGCAGGCGCAGGATGTGACACATAAACAGGATTTCAACAATAAAGCAGAGATGGATTATGTAAACACACACCTGATAAATTCAGTATTTAAGCACACGATTCCTCTCGTAATCTCAGGTTGGTTTCATTTATAATCTGAAATGTTATTCATATTCGGGGATTTTCTGTCATCCAGTTCAGACCTGCAGTTTCGGTCCAACCTATAGCACCTGTGCAGCACATCTCCACTTCCTCCCACTGTACAAAAATGAAGATTTTAGTCCATTTTATGGACAATGGCAATACATTCTCCAGAGCGGTTAAAATGAGGATGTGGATGAGGAAAAGCAAAGATGCTTTTTAAAACAGTGCCATGTGCCATCACAGACACAGACAGCGATGTGTAATATCAGCTATTTTAAATGCAGACAACATACACACAGGATAATGAAGTGTTATCATTAGCTGTAATGTTTACCATATCCCAACACATGTACACACAAACATGAAGGCTTAAACTATGACTTAATAATTCATCAGTATTAGTGTAGCATAATTACACTTCTCCTTGGTCTTGTTTATAAAGAATTAATGATCACATCATTCAATTATCTTACAATTGAAGGTGGGAAATAAACTATTTGTTTGGCCATATGAAAGAAAAACAGGTGACAGAACAGAGGTTTGACTTGTTGACACTAGAGCCGGACCAAGACAGGATTCCTAAGGCCAAAACTGAAACTGATATTTGAATCCTATAGCAGTCCAAGGCTTATTTTTATTTTTTAATTTGGCGCTTTTGATAAAGAGCACCTTGGTTATTAATAAATAACTAAAGTTAGTAAAAAAATGTGTACGGCCCCTTTATTACACTATCAATTGATCCTGGTCTCGTTGTATTCAAGAAAACCCAGTTATTCTATCATCTAAACCTCACCCCTCCCTCATCACCCAATGTTGGTCAGTACAAAAGTCTGCAGGCAGTGCGGGTGAAATTCTAACCGTTAGCGGCCAATAGACGCAAAAACACATATAACTAATGTTCTATGAATTGTGTATGGCCACCAGCTGTAATGTCTAGACTTTAAAATGGCTGAAACATGCAAACATCGGCAGCTGAAGAGAAACAGGAACACTGGAGACGGTGGTGGGGGTGGGACTGATAGTGGTCGTTGGGTAAAATCAATGGGATTTATTAGCAAATATCAGCTTGACCAATTTATCAGTCTGGCTCTTACAGAGACCAAACAGAGGAACTGTGGACTGTGCAAGAGGAGAAACAACATTACCATTAGCTATTTTCTTTTCCTATGGAAATGGTTTCAAAAAATACCAGGAAATGCATTTATCTGCCTCAGTGTAGACATGGCAACAGGGAAAACCAGCAAGAACTACATCAAAACATGTAAGAAAAAACCCACCCCCAGTGCTGTTGGACCTCTGCGTCTCTGTCTGTTGAGAGCAACTGAGCTGCTCAAAAATTAATTCGGGGTAGGCTTGTAAAATCAAAGTGTACACACACACGCAAGCATGTGAAGAAACAGCATCTCTCCCAACAGCTGTGGAAAGGAACTCGACACTGTAGGAAGCAGCGCAATCAATCTGAGAACGAACAGGGAAGAGGAGACGGAAGGAAAACAGGGAGGCGGAGACGGAGCATAGAGGAACAAGGAACCAACGTTTGGCTTTCTTGTGGCCACTGGACCTAAGCTATATATAGTTCTGCATGAACATTAATAATTTAGCATGACCAAAGCCCGTAGAACAGGGCCCCTCGTCTGGCCCTGATCAAATCAATACCTAATTAACCCTTACAGGGCTCTGGGCTTAAGGGAAGAGGAAGCGAGACAACATGTAGGAGAGAGACAGGGAGGAACAACAAGCCAAGTTAACTTAACACCTCAGACCGGACTCTGTTTCTGGTCACTGCAGTTCAGTCTTAATCGTACTTTTCTTTTCAATGTGTATGTATGTATGTCAGGAGAATAATGTATGCAGCAGTGTGAATATGACTGGACAGTGCTAGTCAGCTGGACCGATGAATTGATGTATGAGCCACTAACGGTGAAGCATGAATTAAACAGTTGATACCTAGTCAGCCGATGCACATGCAACTTCAGCGTTCTGCCTGAACTCAGGCCACAAGTCTTTGATTTCTAAGGGTTAATAAGCACACGTTTATTAGGGTAAGCTCGCCCTGGGCTTTCTGTTGCCAAAGGCCTGAGGCAAGCACGTGTGAAACGGTTAGAGGGGCCTTCCCATGTAGGACTATTATGCACCGTCTTCTTCAACAAGCAAGATAAAACAGTAAGAAGCAGCCTTCAGGCACTTAAATGTGTATTCTCCTACAGCGCTACGGTCTGAAGTTACCTTACTGTTTCTGAGGGGCGGTAAGCAATCAGTGTGTTCAAGGGATCACCACCTCCCCACAGTAACTGAACGCAGCCTCACTGAGTAGTTAGCATTAGCAGCATTAGCAGCCACAATGGCAAAAGTTTTAACATCACCGCCCGAAAGCTTTGTCTCTGATAAATGCTGCTGCTTTGTTAGAACTTTTCTATATATTACAGAGACTATGAAGTTGCAGAAAGGAGTTAGGGTTAAAGTTTTGTCCATGTTGGATGAAGCCCTCAAAATCAATGGTGCAACAGACCTCTCTGATCTTTCCAATCTTTGCACTCCAAATTAGCTCCAATTAGCTGCAGCCATTTCCACAGAGGCTGCTTTTCTTTTTAGGTAAAATAACCTTGTTCTGCACAATTCTTTGCACTTTGACCCTGATTATAACCTCCACACTGCAAAACATATAATCCACTCCGGTGACAGTGAGAGACACGACACGGGGACATCACATGACAACTCAGCAACCAGAAACACGAAAACAGAAATTTACTGGCAGACTAATCCATTTTCTCCACACATGTTCTATATTTGCTGTGATTTGGATTCCACTCACACAGTATGCCTAATGTATAGTTTATCTTATAGTTGATCTTTTTTATGTCTGAGTATGTTCCTCTGCATGGTCATCATTATTAGGGCGCCATTTTGACACACCACCTAAAAGAGCCTGAACAGTTAGGACAACAGTATCTTCTGCTGTGAACCAACTTTCACATGATACATAAAAATATGAAGATTTAGACATTCATCTGCTTTTGGTTTTATATACCAACTTTGTATAAACCATAAAAAAAAATGAGCGCTAATACAAGCTACTTCGCTTGCTTCTATATTTAGCAACTCAGATATTTTTTTAGGACTTGGTCGACCAAAGGAGAATAAACAGTGCACTTATATTTGTCAGGTGACCGGAAACACCATGTTGCTATGTTTCCACAAAAGGTGTAGGCAGTTGGTCGCCAACGTGTTACTTTTTGCTAAGCTCATTTCTGTGGCTTTTGTTTGGAGTTTCTGTCACCTAGTGCTCAAAAATCCCTAAACTCACTAAGAAAAAGAAGGAAAAGACAAATGTAGCACAAAACGTCATTACTGTGGCTATGGGAACTTGCAGTCTAATATAAGCTGGGCTACCTTGAGCAGAGATTTAAACTGCTGACGACAACTATATTTAACTGTTTTTAATGGTACCTAGATATGAGCTAATAAAGAGTCCTGAAGGGATGTAGCCACATGTAGCTTGTCAACAACTAACTTGCTAGTAAAGCCCGAAAAAATTCTGTGAGCATGTGAGAATCAAATCTCTAACCATACATTCTGTGGCCTTGGTAGTTAAAGTGACTGTGTTTCTCTTCTTCTTTCTTTGGGTGGCTCTTTCTTACAGGTCCGTAACAATGGTCTCAGATGTCGCCCCAAAGACCGGCTGTCTGGTTGGACTGGATGATGTCTGACTGACTGCTGGAAAGAGGTAAAGTCTGACCTTGGTGCCTCAGTGAGGCATTGAGGGTCTGATTGCAAGACTACAGAGGTCGCACAAACAGCAAGAAAGCTTCATATCAACACACAGCCACACGTTCATCTCAGACAGTCTCAGCCATTTCAGTGTGTGCAAAGTTTTCTAGTATATTTGATTGCAGCCTTCTGTGTGAAATTTTAAAATAAATCAATCAATAAAACAACTCAGATTTAATAAGAATCCTTTGTTATTGAAACAACAAATTTAGAAGTCAGAGCTCTTTGACTGATTTTTAGTTTGTGTTGTGCAATTAAAGTTCCTGTCACAAAAGTAATCAAAACAAAATAAAATAAACTCCTGTCATTTCTCATTTGGATAGACTCTCCGGTATCAGTAATGAATCTCAGTCAATCTTGATTTACTTTATTTTAAGCCCATGGTTAAAAGAAAATTGTTTTGTATAAAAGCAATACTCACTCATAATAAAATAATTTCTGGATGTGTTGTGTTAACCAACTCCAAATTCGTGGAAAGTGAGACATAATTTAAACAAGATGTGTGAGTGCTGAAATACAGAGAGAGCGCAGCGATTCACAAACATCACAGCCAAGTGAAAGATCAACCAAATCCTTTTTTTCTCTGCAGGAAACAAACTTCAGTGGAACTGCTGAACCATTTTTGTCTGTGTGAGAACAAATACAAATATAAAAGCTTGTTTACTAAGAGTCACAACCACCTCTAGCACAGTGCGAGCAGTGTGTGTGTGCATGTATGTATGTGTGTGTACGTGTGGGTGTATGTCCTGGGGAATGAGGAGGAAAATGAATAAAGCAAATATGTGCATGATTGGCCAAAGGCGTGGTAAAACACAGAGACTCAAACAAACTACAAGAAACACACACACACACACATAAACCCGCAGCCTAAACGCGGTGTGTCGATTCAATCTGACGGCTTCTCGGCAAACCAAATCCCTAATCTCATCTCATCTCTCTTTCTCTCTCTGAAGTATCCGGTGATGAGCTCAAAGGAGGCTGATGTGCGCTGGCAGCTATTTCTGTGACTAACACACCACCATCGCACACACATGTATAGACACACACACACACACACACACACGCTTGTTAACGCAGCAGAAACACTGTAACAGCAATCAAAACGGGGCGGTGCCTCATATGAAGGTGAATCAACCCAAGGATACACACCATCACACCACACATCAAACAGTGGATTTGGAGGTTTTACATTATGTTGCCATGGCGTTGAGCCAGTCACACTTTCAACATTTGTACATGGTCATGGCTCAGGGAGAGAAGGAGAGAAAAAAAACTAGGTCGAGCTCTCTGATTGGTTGACGAATCACCCCCCAACATCAAACAGCAGCACAACGGATGACTGCATGTGCAACGAATCACTCTCCTCTCTCTGCAAAGACACACAGAAGCGTGTATGCAAGGCTGATTTTGAAAAGGCAAATGATTGGTCAAGGCAAATTTGGGTTCCCCGGTTTCCCCATAATGCACTGGAGCGGACTGGGATGGGTGTGGTGCTGCTCTAAATCTGCGCTCCTCTTTTCTCTTTGCTTTGCTCGTCTGCAGCCAAGCAGATGTCACAGCGGGAGGAAAGGGAAAAAAATTGGTCCAATTACTCGTCTAATTATCGAATTATTTCATTATGTGGTGGAGAGCAGGAAGGAGGACGAAGATGGTCCCTGTGTTTCCTTTCGTCCTCTGTGCTCCGTTCCTGGTGACGACACCTGGAAATATTAAAGTATTACCTTTCTGCACAGGCCCTCTGCTATTGGATTCTGCCCTTCCTGTGCAGATTTTACCGCTACTTGCTTCCTGCTCTTCATTTACTTGATCTCCAACACTAATATGCAACCCCCTTTCATTTGCCCCCTCCTGTTTTTGTAGCGCGTTCTCTCTCCCTCTGCACCCCGTTTGATGGAGAAAGAAGCGCGAAGAGAAGGAGGTGCAGGCGTATAGAAGTGCTAACGAGAAACAAATTGAAAACAATTAAAGGCGAGATGGGGGAGTTTGTGTGTTTGTGCAAATGAATGAGGACGTCGGGGGTGTGTGTCTGTGTTGGTGGGTGGGCGGGGAGATAGTGGTGATTAGAGAGGTATTAAAGAATGAGAGTGGTAATTGGTGTATTCTTTTATTTTCTGCCAATTAACTGCTAAAGTGGTAAACAACAGGGGTGTGATGGAGCAGAAGACCTGGGAACAGTCTGAGGAACACACTGGAACCTGTTCAGGTATACAGACACTGAGCTGGGATCATCTCACAGACCGACAACACTTCATCCATATCAACAACTGCACCTCCT